AGCATGCGCAGCTCTTTTTATCTGCTTTGAAGAAAAGTGAAAATGGTGATGAGAAGAGTTTCAGAGCTATGACAGAACTCCCTTAGTATTATAAGTGTTTTATAATAGTGGCGTTTGAATTAATTGGTAAAATATTAAAGTAGTTGCGCCATGCGTTTGTTTTTCATCAAGCGATATACGTGCTAATTACAATAATGATGAAATCCATCACACGCAATCGAATCAAAATAAACTTTCTTCTCATCCTGTTTAATTTAGAAGAAGCTTTTTCGCGTGTGTTCTTTATTCTATAAATGGCCTCTCTAGTTCGACTCACAACCCGACCACTGATCTCCTCTCTTTCAAAAGGCCACGTCGTAAATTCCCGGACCTTGACATTTTGCCTCATTTCCCGCTAGACCGTAACGATGCAGCGTTCTTTGATGAAAGCACCTGTTCTCAGCCACATTTTCATCCAGGATGGGGCCCCGCAAGGCTCCAGGAGCCTCCAAGGCGGCGACTTGAGGGTTTGTAGTTGCCAACGATGCCAGTGAACATTGGCTGCAAGATTGTTTGTGAATAATTGTGTTTCAGTGGAAGGTTTAGGTAAAGACAAAGACTGGATAAATTAAAGCGTAATATTCCTTTCCATCAGAGGCATCTCATATCCAAACCTGTAGGTTTCCACTAATAATTACGCCGTATGAGCCACATTTGTGTGATTATGGAAGACCATCCCTGGGCTGAAGAACAAGCGACTGTAATACGGGATTTGCTTTTGACAATTAGGACATACATCCTTTGTTATATTGGAGGACCTCAATGAAATTACCTCTACAAACCCGTCAGACAAACATCTGCAATCAGAAAGTGTGCTGCACATATGATCTTTTGCAAATAAAATACATTGAAATAGACCTGAAAATGAAGTGTTGTAACATACCTGATACTGCTTGAGGAAGCTGTGAACCATCTGGATATTGTGAAAAGACAACTCGTGATCAGAGAAATTTAAAAACTGATTTTTAAAGACAACCTCAGTGTTGTAAAAGGTTGTGGTCTTTATACAGTGCAAGAAAATCCTTATATGGAAATACAAGAGCTAAAGAAATGAAATTCATAACAATCATCCAATAGTATAACATGCGTTTCACAAACTTTAATTTATCTGACTCCATAAAGGCCTTTAAAGATATGGTCATTGCGAGTTTGAGCAAAAGCATTAAAGTCAACATCATTTTTATTTCGGTTAGAGCAACTGTCACAAACAGCATTGCAGGACCTTTTTTTTTAAATTTAATTGGAAGACTTGGCAGAACCACAACACAACAACTACGGCAACCTGCCAGAGGGCTGCTTCCAGCTGCAGCAGGAGTGAGGAGCGAGACCTATCCTACAGGATCAGGGCGACGGAAATCCGCTCAGGCTACGGCTCCTCCTGAACAGAAGATAAGTCTCAGGCAAGGATTCAGAGAATTTATAGACATTTTAAATGGCCTTAGCCAGCTTCGAAGCTCTTGAAGGAGGACTTAAGGAGACAGAATGGTGTCTTGATCTGCCTCCTGGCTCACCTAATAACCCTGTCATTGGATTGAGGGCTCTGCGTGTGTAAGACAATTGTCGGTCCTTCTGGTGTTTCCACTTGTTTGTTCTTTCTGGGACAGAGAGATGAGATGAGATCATCCATCAGTCCACTTTACACTCTAATGGGCTCACGTACCGGACATCTGGAGAGGTTCCTCCAACGGTGACTTCAGCTCAACGTAATGTGTGTATGCTTATTTATGTGTTACTACACGTGCACGTTAGACCTTGCCACAGATTGTGCTACACAGAGTGTGTTATGCCCAAGAATACATGAGTGCTCACAAATGATTTCCACTTAAGTACAGTAGTGCTGAAAAATGTCTACTTCAGTGACAAGAACTGCCAGGTTGTTAGCGGTACCATGAAGTGATTGTGAAGGCCGTTGGACGATATGAGCTCTTATTCGTAGAAACACAGCTTTGGGCTTTCTTCTCTTAAAAATGAAACAATGAAGCAACCTCTGTGTGTGAGATTTTTACTTTCACAAAATTAGAAATTGGCTCCGTAATGGAAGACTGACAAACCAAACACACAACGGTTAGATCGGGTTGCATTTGTTTATACTGTGGCTTTACGACACGGCAGGCGACACGGTATCAGTGTGTGTCCTGACGCAAGACTTTATTAGACTGTCTGGTTTTCATGTATGAGCTGCTGTGTGTGTGTGTGTGTGTGTCATCTGTTTAGGCTGCGCAAGAGGAGTGTGTTACCACGGTCCAGTCCATATAAACGGGCTGAGGATGTGTAGAAGAAGTCAAGCATTCCCCTCAGCGTCTCCGGTTTACATCCCGGTGAGATGACACAGTGTGTGTTTATGTGTGTTTGTGTGTGTGTGTGTGTGTGTGTAAAAGTTGTTGTCTCAGTGCAACATGAAGCAACAGGTGGAACGAATCAGCACACAAAATTGTACTGGAAAATCAGTCTGCTTGTGTGTGTCCTTTCTAAGGTGTCTTTTCTTCTTACTTGATGTAAAATCATACTTTCAAGACTGTGAATCTTCTGAAAGTCTGTCAATCCCCTCCATGCAGACAAAAAGGAAAAAAGGAGAAAAATGTCTAAATCCTATGTCCACTTTTTAAAGGTCTAATCTAGTGTACATGAAAACTTATATGTATATTATAAAATGATATCCAAATTATTTAAATAGAATTACTCAAATGATCAAATAAATGAAACCTTCAATGGCTGTGACACTAAAAGAGGGTTCAGAAAAACCTCAGCTCATCTTTTCATAATCCATAATAATCTACCAAAATCAAAAGTTTTCACTATATGTTTAGTAAACACAAAACACAGTCACATCTCACATTTAATACCGAGTTAAAGCATCTGCTCTACCCAGTCACAATACCTGAGAAGAATATTTCTACTATTAAAATGCTGCATAAATATCCCTGAAAATAAAAAAGCAATACATCATACACACATCAAGGAGTATATCATAGTTTATTACATGAGCAGCAGTGAAGCGCAGATTAACTCCCTCTATCCCTGATAACCATTTAAAAAGCAAATACATTGTGCAACCAGCTGGATAAGAAAATGTCATCATTGATTTTTTGGACATTCATTAGTCAGGTAGGGTGGTGATACTACTCCCTGCAACATTCTTCATACTTTTACTTTCCCTGGATACTTTCGCACTTTTGTTTTGGTTTATTTCACTTAGATTCAATATTCTTGAGTCAGTGGAAAAAAAATATTTTGGTTCTAGTGAAGAAACATTCATTGTTTAAACTACGCTGTTCATCCGGGCTGTGCTCCATTCGAGTGCTCCGGTGTGCTCACACTTGGCAAATACTTTGTTTGTGACTAATACTTTGTCACGAAAACGACAATTTAGGCAAACATGGTGTTATTTCAAAACAAACCCATTTGGTTATATCTACCGATAATGAAGTGTTACTGGGAGCTGTAAGTGTACGAATAAAGCGTTATGGAATAATCTGTTAACGACATGGAGTGTTTTGGACTCCTGGGTCACCACAAAGGTAATACTCTAACAGCACCTGAACCAAAACGACATGACAGTGTAGCTGCAACCAAACCCCTGGATCCAAACAGGTTATCTTGTGCTCATGGACAGTGGAAATTCACCCATTAGGATGCGAAGACACACACACACATCATATATATCATACATAGCAGTGTCTGGTAGATGAGATAAGGGGCTTAAAGGAGGGGGGGCAGGGTTGTCTCTGGTGAAACTCTGACTGACATGGCAGCTCTGGGGTAATCCTGCTAATCCCCTGCTAGCTCAGGGGTGCGCTGGGGCTGAAGGCCTTTGACCCTGCGTCGTGAGGAGGTGCTAACACACACACACACACACACACACACACGCACACACACACACACACACACACAATACAAACACAAAGTTTTGGTGGCATTTCCGAAAGTCGTGGACAAACATCTTTTTTGCCAACATGCCCCTAAATAGTAAATTATTAGTTTGTGTTTACGTAGAATGGTGTGCTCACATTGTTTGGAATGATTACAAGGAGCATTAAGAAGGATTATGAGGCCAATTCACTCTGAGTCAGTGGACCGTTCGTCCATCAATACCAGGAAAAGCGTGAAGCTGTTAAAGAAGCAGATCATCCGTGACACTTTAAAAAAAAAACTCATGTCGCTTTGTATGCATCCAAAGCTGGATGCAATTGAATACACAAAAGCACATTTAAAGATGTAAACATGCAAGTAGAGATTTCTCAGTTGTTATGGGCTACTCACTGTTGATTGTTTTAAAATATGTGGAAAGAAGAGCACTATTCTTTATGTATGTGTTTAATATTCGCCAAATGTGATTAAAAGTTAAAAAGGCATCAAGCTGAAATTACAGAACACAATAAGTTTTATTTATTTTTTCAATAGGACAGCGGAGAAGAACTGTACTCCTTGTGCTCCTTATCTAATAATCAAATCAACATTTTAAATGCAAATTAAAACGAACAAAAATTTAAATATGAAATTGACCTTCTTCTTACTGTTATCCAGTGTTTGACATTAAAGGCTGTAGTTATGCTCAGATTGAAGGGATTTCTATCGTCCCCTGGTAGTCATCCGTCCACCGGTGTTTCTAACAGTAAAAGTAGTGCTAATGAAGATGAAAGAGACAGAACAGGCTTTCAAGATAAAGGTGATGCTAATGAGTATTTTGCACAGTCCAGCAAATCACTGCAAGAGTAGCCCACACGCGTCGAATACAGACCAACAACACAAGATAAATAAAACATTCACAACAAGTAGGCCTTCACAATTGAGCGTATTACAAAATAGTGAACAGAATGGATTTACCAAAACACTTTGTTGAGGTTATTTTCCTAAAAGGCGCCTAACCAGTTTTACTTTGAAAGGCAGTGCCGGAAGCAGGTTTCTGATACTGCGGCGCGCTTGATGCTGTTGCTTTGATAACTTGGTGCCGCTTGTGTGTGTCGCTCACACACCGAAAGCAAGTGATGGGAGACCGACTCAGTCCCTGACGTGCGCTATCGCTCACCTGGCGGTATTCTCATTGCATCTTTTATTTTACTGGTTCTCGACATTTTGCGCGTGTGTGTGTGTGTGTTTTTTTTTTTTTTAAATCCAGAATAAAAGACACCCATCATTTCTTCCAAGCAGAAAACCCCGATGTCGGCTGTACTGTGCGCTTTGGGCACCGGTTCCCCAGGATCTCAGTCAACGGCAGAGGAGTGAGGAGCTTTTGCCAAAATGCCTGTTAACCGGAATATAACTTTCCCACAGTGGTCCTATGGAATATAGTCCGATTTCACACAATCTACATGTTGTGCCATCACCCCACGTGAAAAACAAACTCTTCGTCTTCTGCATAATGCTGTCCCTCTGGGTGTATATGATTTATTGCTGTGTCGGCTACTGCTCGACGGTGCCCAACCTGACGACGTACGGCTCGGCGAAGGCACACCGCAACGATTCGGAGGCGGGCGCGCAGGAGCCCGGGTCCTCTCCGGGGGCCTCCAGGGACTTGCTGAATAACGAGAGCGATCCGGACAGCCGGGGAGAGGAGTGGGATGAAATGAGAGGCGAGGCGAAGCCGTCGGACGACAACGCCGTGTCGGGTTTCCCCGACGGGTCGGAAAGTAAAAAGTTCCCGCAGGCGATCATCATCGGGGTGAAGAAAGGAGGAACCCGCGCGCTGCTGGAGTTCCTGCGCCTGCATCCAGACATCCGAGCGGTGGGAGCGGAGCCGCACTTCTTCGACCGCAACTACGACAAGGGACTGGAGTGGTACAGGTACCCCCCCCCCCTCTACCGACCCGTACTGGTTAAATAAAGGAAGTTAGGTGTATACAAGTTGAGAGAATGAAAGGATCAGGCCTATTTACTGTAAAATGCTATTAAATGAAGTCCTGCAGAATGAGCTTGATGTTTGCAGGGATTTATGTCCACGAGATTATAAAGAGCAGAACCAAAACATTTCTTTTTTGGTATCAACCGTAAGTCACATTGCACGAGTCTGTACGCACATTTGCAATAAGACTAAAATTTAACACATCAGGCAACTTTTCTCATGTTCATCTGCAAAACACTATCGATTTCCTGCGTGTTTGCATGACCTTCATCCCCTCGGTGTTCCGGGGGAATGTCTCTACACCCGTCCTTGGATTGAGACATGAGGTGTTTTTTTTGGACGAGGACGGGGCCTCATGGTACAAGCAGATTTGACATGAAAGAAAGAAACAACTCTTAGTTTGGTGTTGGCAAGTTACATCACGCCTTCATCCTGGAAACGTCCAGCGGCGTGATATTAAGAGATCCAGGGTGCTCATTCAGTGGCATTTATTTGTTTTGATCTTTAATCCAAACAGACCGCAACGTCGAAGGCAGAAATCCAGGACCTGAGGCAGCTTGTCAGCGTCAGACGTAACATTTGAACTTCTATTCTCTGTCACGGCAACTGTACTCTTTATCATTGACTCAGCTGCACAGTTACGCAACGTGGTTTCACACGCGCTGGAGATACATCACAAACACACTCGTGGAAATTATTGATCTAAATAGTTGGAAATGTTATGACGTGCAATGGCTTTTCATCAGAGCAACCTATTTGTTTATAAGAGATAATAAGAGACGCTTCAAGTGGCCGTTTGACTGAGACGAGGGATTAAATTAAAAGGCGATGTCAAAGCATGGAGACGTTTCAGAGCTTGCTCCGTGAAAGCTTCAATAGGGGAAGCGAAGCATTGTTCAAAGGACTCCTCGCCTAAGCTCCTTCAAGAATTTCCGGACAGGTTCGGCACATTTTCGGATGATCAGTGTGTGGAGAGAGGTCTTTTGTCCATCTCTCAGCAACGAGAACATATTGAAGTCTGATTTTTTTTTACTATGACGTAGCTTTTCTGAAGGAGTAGTACGTCTTGACCGTGAGTAATGTCAAAGGTGAAGCAGAAGCCATCATTTAAGATGGATACTACGAAATGTTACGTAAGTAATAGTCAATTGAGACGTGCCGACGCGAGCTTTTCGCGGTGGTGGCTTGTGGATGCGGAAAACTGATTCATCTCGGGAGCTGAGTTTCTTTCCTAGAGAGGTGATGTGGCTAATTAAAATCACTCGGCTTGACTTGGCACAGTGAGAGCCCTGCGCCATGCCCACTTTGACCCCCGTGCTGCAAGACACCGTGACATCGAGTTTTTCTGCATTTTAGCAGTTTGGTAAACCTTTCCTCCAGGCCGTTTTACGTCCTGCATGCTCATAAGTCGCTCTTAAAGATAAGCTGAAAGCAAACTGTTGCCCCCCCCCCCGGACTAATGGCGTGCGGTAACTTGGGGAGAGGAGCAGTCTGCCGGGTGGGCTTATCAGCTCCCGCGGTGGCATTGAGTCGTGCTCACGCCATTTATCTGCAGTGATTTCCCATCCCGCTGGAGGCCCCACACAGCAGAGGGCCCCCCTCGCCCAGCGGGACACAAAACCACATTACAGCACGTTGTCACCCAGCGGCAGGAACAGAGCCCCTCCTTTCTTCAATGACGCCACCAACTTCCTCCCACATGTCTTGTGCCTTATATCAAGGACGTCTGACTGATACACTGTAGATGTGACTTAATTGCTGAGATAGTTTTTTTTCCTCTTGAGGCTCCATCCATAGAACAATGAGTGGCCTTCTTACTAACCGACTAAGGGAGTCACTGAAGACGGTCTAATCCTCCTTAAAACCCCAGGGAGGCTTACTGCAGGCCAGTGGCAGATAGAGGGCAGTAAATTTAAAGTGAGGCTTTAGAAATAGCAACAGTATTATTGAGCTCAATGAAAGGAGATGCCGGAGAACCCCTGAGGTCTGCATTAACCCTGACAATAAAAGAGCAGACAATTAGTGTGAAACATGTTTTCTCTGCCTTCACTTTGTATGCAAATGTGCTCAGAAGGGTGAAAGTGTCCTTTGACGAGGCCCAGCAGGAGTCCATCAGAAAGAGCATTCATTGGAACCTGCTTCGAGAAAAGACCCAAGCACAACGCTTTAGGCCTAAAAGTTGACTTTTCACAGATTTCTGTCTGGAATAGTTACGTTTTCCCCCAAGAGAAGGTTTGTTTGAGTCCGCTGGTGGAACTGCGCTCACTTAACACTTTGCTGCTCGTTGGAAGGACGCAAGGGGACCGGTGTGAGCGAGAGAGCTCTCAATGTGCTGTGGGTACGTCCCCCATCCCGCCAGCAAACACAGACGGGAAAGGAAGGGAATACCGCATTGATAATTCAAAGCTTCAAAGATGTTGTTTCAAACATTCCTAAAATATCTCCACTCACCATGAAAACCTGCACTCTAAAAAAAGTTATTCATCTGTTTCTTTCAATGGACTGAAATGATTATGACGTTCCAGAAAAGTCTACTGGAGCTTCATTACTGGTAATGTGCACCGTCCATTTCTATTGAAGAGATTGAAGGTTTAATTTGCTCCAACAACCCCCTGGGCTTCAGCTTCAGGCAATTTGTCAAACCACAGCACTTATTTCAGCACTTTGGAAACACAGAAACAAAACATTCTCACTCCGTTATATCCCCTTGAGTTGTTGACTCATTGCTCTCTTTTGTAGCATCTTCAGAGAGAATGTGATGTTTCCTGTTTCTGTCTCTGCACTGTAGAGGCTCACTGACAACAACTTGAGAAAGCACCACTCTGCCTCGTCCATCTTTGGTTTGCATCTCTGATGTGTTGTTTGCGACTGCTGGGCCAGCATGAGTGTCTTATAGGAAATGATGTCACATTATATGCAAACATAAGGGGGTTTCTTTGCCCCATTATATGAAAACTATCACCGTAATTGTTCATGTTACCAACAATGCCCATATTCTGATAATTGACCAATGTTTTCCAACTGTGTTGCTCTGCTCTTTACTGATGTATTAATTATGCTGTTGGCAGTGTTGCCTGTATTAGTAACAGAATATTGCAGTAGTACATTCATAATAATACTAATAATAAGTAATACATATAATTTTATTTTGAGTTTTTTGGTTACACAAACACATAAGTTATGTTCACCTGCAGTTAATTTATTCATCCACAACTACTCTAAAATTCCTACCATAAACTGTGCTGAAGCTCACTCAAATTACATGAAGCCCCTTTGTCACAGTAATTCAGAATTCGTTAGTCCTGTTTGGTAAAAGATTACTCTCATAATACTGTTGGACTAACGACTGTTTGAAATGAAGTTGAAATGGATGCACCACAGCTACAGGTATTTCATTTCCTTCTTGCCACCTACGATGCCACAATTCAACTCTCCTTCTGACAGTTTGGTCGGAGAGTTGCGCCTGTTTTTTGTAAAGCCACTCAGGCTTTTTAAGTCAACATTAGAAGCTCAGAGTGTGAGTGTGACAAAGTGTTATAAAACTCCCAAACATTTTAAACTTATGCTAGCGATGTAGTGACATGTTCCGCACTTAGTTACTCACTATTTAATGTTTTTGGAAAACATAGGTAGTTTTGTTTCTTAAACCTTACAAGTGTGTTTGTTTGAATCGGGTTTGTCCTTTATTTAATCTTTCAAAGTCAAGGTTTGACCTGTTGACAAAAAACACCTGGCGGAGTCACTCTCCTGCTCTGTTTGACTTACCTCCATATTTCCTCTAGAAATATACATTTGTTAACACGCTTGTTGAATCAGATGCTACAAACCACCTAAATTGATTTTGTGAGTCCTGTGATTTGTTGCTGGTTTCTGTTGTTTTAAGGCTGACAGCTGTGTGTGGGAAGCCAGAATATCGCATGTCCTGCTTCTCCTCCTGCTCTTCTTCCTCTCCCTCGTTTCATCAGACTGGGCCTGTCTCCCCTCAGGCAGCCCGGTGGCCTTGAGTTCTGCATACTGACAGTATTAATGAAGGATGGGAAAAGGGCTCTGCACTATCACTGACGTTCAGGAATGCCGTTGAGATACCGAACGCTGAAGGTCCTGAGCAAAACGGATGATAACATGAGAAGCTTTCTTCCTTGATATCTGCGTAGTAGTCATCTCCTTATAAGTGGCTGCATACCACCACCTCTCATCCTGTCTTGTCAAATGATTCCCACAGTAGCTGAACCTCTGCAGTGCGAGCCTTTTTTTCTTTCTTCTTCTGTGGCAGTGCCATCATGCCACAGTGGTGAAAGGCAGAAACATCAGGATACACAAGGTGTACGTCGGAGCTTTCTGCACCCTTCTTCATCTTTTTGATGAACTGGGCAGCGAGGGGGATCATCGTCACACAGCGACTTGCTGTATCCCAACCTGTATTTGAACCTGCCTCCCGATAGCAGTGGAAGTAAACCCGGCACCCGCCACGCTGTCTACCCACAAGCCTCTTTAATGGACGCACCTGACTTACACAGCAGACATAACACTGGCAAATTATGCACCACGCCACTCCTGGATTAATATCAGTCTGAAGGCCGCTATAGGGGTGTCTTATCTCCTGCTGCTGCTGCAGGGAATATGCAGACGCAGCATCTAAAGTTGCTTGTGACTTACAACACAGACTTAGGCTTCTAGGTCAGAAGGGTCGACCGCATCCTCCAACCTGGTGCTGATTCCATCTAATCCTCCCTTTGCACCTTCCGCGCCTTCCTCTCTCACTTTATCTCACTCCCTTAACAGTCTTGCTCCCGGCCGCCCTCTGTTGTCTGCTCAACCCCTGCTGCGCTCCTGCGAGTTTAACAGGACAGGTTAGAGGGCAGAGGATGTATATGTGTGCCATCGATATAGACGCATCTTCAGTGCACCAATTATATGGTGAAACTCTTTAAAGACCCCCGGCTTTATGACTTGACGACCTTCTTAGGTGTCATAGTGTTAGAGTGAAGGAGCTTTTTTTTTCAGCTTCATGAAGTCAAATAGAAACTCGCAAACTTGCAAACAAACGAAGGGGCAAAAGTCAGCGCGCTGTCGCTCGGTTCTAAAAGGCGACTGTTTAGCTTTGGAATGCCTCGGGGCTGAATGAAGCCGCCGCCGCCGCCGCGTAGCTGATTGATGAATGAGGATGCACTGAAAGCTATTGGTTGCAGGCGACATTGTTTATTAAGCAGAACAAATTGTGAAAGCTTGCTACATCTGCCCCCCCTCGGGCCACTCTCTCACTCCCTTCTCTATCTCTGCTAAGATGAATAAAACATGTACTTCTCACACAGACTGTTTTGCTCGGGGACTAAGGGGAACCTTTGATTTGTACAGTAGTACGTTTTTGTGTCCCTCGAAGCCCCAAGGAGGGCCCCCGGCGCTCCTCTAAAACCAAGAGATCCTGGCAATACTGGCGGGGTTTCGGATGGATTTGTTTGTTTCTTTCACACCTGTTTTACTCAGGGAGTGAAAAAAGTGGAGTAAATGTCTGAGACCCAGGGCCTCCATTGAAAAGAAAACGCAGAGGAGATTAGGTTTTAAAATGGCAAAAGAAAGAGAACGACTTTATTTCACCAACAAGGAATATGTGAGGCCTACGTTTCCTATAATCACTAAAGCTAAGCTGTTTTCTAACACATACACGTGTAACATAAAAGCTGCTGGATTTGGTAGAAGGATATTAAAGCACCTTGTGCATGCATCAAAAGATGCTTCAAAACGATACAAAGACTTTAACGACATGGCGGCTCTGCTTTCCTGTTTGTTTGATTTAGATCAACCGCTCACAATTACAACCTGAGACTTGAAGAATTTGACTGACTTAAACCATAATGAGGCTGCTGGGGGGGCTGTTTCTTGTGAACACCTAACACCACACAATAGGTTATATTTATCTCAATCCACTTATGTAGCTGGAAAAAAGACATCTGACACTGTTCTTGCTTTAAAGGTGTTTCTTTAATCTGTACAACATATATTATATAGCAGGGAGCAAAATGCTACTTTGATGCATATAAACACTACGCCTCTTAGATCATCTTTTCATATGAGAGGAGAAAATTTACATTGGTGTGATGATGTATTCTCAAGCATTGGTCCCCAAGAATATCTTTAATTTATTATTGTTTCTGCTTATTTCTTTATAAGAAATGCTTTACTTGCAAGTGTTTTTACACACAGTTTAACAATTAAGATTTTTTTCATTATCACAAGTTTATACTTTTATTTACATGTCTGTGTTTTTTTTATTGAATTACACATTCTACATGGTGAGGTATTGGTTGGATGATGAACATTTTCATCTAAAATGCAGTTCAGATGCAACACGACCTCATGAACCCGTATAGTGTCGCTGAGTGAACTCCGCTCTGACACAGTCTATGTTTGGCTTAGTGGGTCCATCACTATCCATCATCTTCTTGGATTAGGTCTCATTGTCGCGGCTATGTATCTCTGTACCGCTCTCCTTCTCTCTTCAGAGACAAACCAGCCACGCAACCAGCCAACAAGGCAGTCAACCAGCCTCTAATGCTCCACTGTGTTTGTCCTAATCCCCCTTGGCTCACTTTATCCAGCCATTATCCAGTCAGAGATGCAGTTAACAGGCTATATTCTGATCAACCAGAGCCATCCAGGGTGAACAAGAATATGGAATCATGGGAATCATAGACAGCTGCATTTTCTCCCGAAGGAATGTGAGGCTCCTCCAAATCGCCCTATTTTACAAAACATTTCCAGTTATGTCTCGGCACGAAGCATAATGCTGCCTTTTCACAGTTAAACCGTTCTTTGTATAATGTAATGAAGGTGTGGAATATTTCAATGTGAGGATTAGAAGGGGATTGGGGTCTTGAGGTGGATGATAATTGCATCAGCAGGGCACATGAAGGTACCTCTTAAGGGTTTGTATTTAGAACCTGTCATGAAGTGTGCACTGTGCTCACACGCAATCACAGATGATGGATAGGACACCTGCTTTACAGCTCCTGTCACCTCAGGTACACTCACGGACTCGGTTCATGTCCATCATGGAGTCCAGCATTGTCTTTTTGATGGTGATTGCTCTTGCCTGACAGCACTTTACACGCGCCATGGAGCTGCTGTGTCAGTGTCTACCTCACTCTCCTGTAGAATACACAATGGTACAGATCTACTTTGTGCGCCAAATAAAAGCGTCAGAGCAAATATGAATCGGTGTGTTTGTGTCCCCTTTTAGGGAATTGATGCCCACGTCAGCAGAGGGCCAATTGACCATGGAGAAGACCCCCAGCTACTACGTCACCAAGGAGGTCCCCGCCAGGATCTACAGCATGTCGACGGACACAAAGCTGATTGTAGTTGTGCGGGATCCTGTCACCCGGGCCATCTCGGACTACACCCAGACTCGCTCCAAAAAGCCGGACATCCCGTCTTTCGAGAGCCTGGCCTTCAAGAACGCCTCGGCGGGTCTGATCGACACCACGTGGAGCGCCGTTCAGATCGGCATGTACGCCAAGCACCTCGAGCGCTGGCTGCGGTACTTCCCCGCCGGGCAGCTGCTGTTTGTCAGCGGTGAGCGTCTGATCAGCGACCCGGCCGGCGAGATGGCTCGCGTCCAGGACTTTCTCGGGCTCAAGAGGGTGGTCACAAAGAGTCATTTTCACTTTAACCCAGCGAAGGGATTCCCCTGCCTCAAGAGACCGGAGTGGAACAGCAAGCCCCACTGCCTGGGCAAAACCAAAGGCAGGACCCATCCCAACATTGACCCAAAGGTGGTGCAGAGGCTACGGGACTTTTATAAACCCTTTAATAGTGAATTTTACCGGATGACTGGCCATGACTTTGGCTGGGACTGAGAGGATAACTACAGACTCATGCCGGTCTCTTGTCTGTGTTTTCCCTCCGGAGATATTGCTATACAGTGTATGTACATTATTTGGTGGATGTGTAAAAAGTCTAGAAGTCTATTTTATGATAATTTATTGTTATTGATATTAACTCACTTAGTTGCCTAACCAGGTTCATTCAAGATCTACGACACGCTTCATGTTCCAGTTTCAGTCCTCATTGAGTACATGAACCTTTTTACAAAAGCACAATGTTAACACGGGTATTATGAGGGTCAGCATCCTTCCGGATGTTTTACCACTTGTGGCTCTTTTACTTTTTCTTTGGCATCACCTTAAACTGAACGAGATCCGGCCTCACAAACCACCGGTAATATCCCCTTAACATTTGCCTGACCCTCGGAGGTCCAGGGACCCACTTAGCCAGGTCGATACTGGCCTCAGCTGATCCAGTGCTACTTGCCAGGTGGATCAATACTGTAATAGCTCCTCATCATGTCAATTAGACCTGAGTGATGGCACTGCCTTGATCTCTCCAGCACCGCAATAAATTATGGATCCACTAATGGTAGTAACTTCATGGTTCACCTCGGAGCCAACTTCAAATTAATATAATAAGGTACGTTTACACTGCAATGTTTTGACTTAACTATTTATATTATTTCTACAAAGGAATTCTGATCAGGCAGCAGTCGAGGGTCTGGCGCACAGGCATCATAATGTCTGTCATTTATTGCTCTTTCCAAAAAGAATATGATTCACATGTTTTAATCGCACGCATTGATCTGCTCTGAAATGGCTTTCATGGATCATCTCGTTCAGGTGTTTTTTTTTTTTTTACCACAGGTGATACTAGATGTGATAAACCAACTGAAATAAGCCTCTTTGTATCACCTACATTCAGTCATAGCTGAGAAGAATTTGAAAGAACCAACAGTTCGCTTCAATTTACTTTATTATATGGTTGAGTTTTATTCAACCTTAATAGACAACATTTTTGAACAGTCAAACAGACATCATTCCATAATAATAAACCGTTTTGATGTAGCGGCACTATTTTGCTTCATGCGTTGCTTTACAAACCTAAATGTAAATGAAGCAGGTTCGGTTAAAAAGTGAATTAGATGCAATCATGTCATTTTTTTGAAGTAAGAAATAAATATGTTTTATCAAAACCAGTCGCTTATATCACTATATTTTATAATGTTGAACTTGTGTTACTTGAGTTTATGCACAACCCCTACCTTACCTTCATAAGTTTAGAGATAAAGTACTGCAAAGGTGTGCTGCTGTGTCTAATTCACCCTGAGATGGCTAATTAGCACAGCGGCGCTATTCTGTCTATGCTGTCTCAGCCCCCCTGCTGCCGCCGATGAGTGGGTTTTGTTGCTATGACCCCCAGAAACGCACAACAAAGTCTCAGGTTTCTCATTTGGAAGGACGCGACATGAAAAACACTGCCATTCCTTTTTATGTCCCTGCGTGACGCTGAACCCTCGCCAATCCCCCAAAATGAAGTGAGATCAGGTTTCAAGCTGCTGTTTAAATGTGTTTATCCGGCTGTGAACTGGAGGTACTTTTCCCCTGTTGGTGTGCCGAAGCCGTGACCTGAAGCAGAAGTAATCTAGCTCATTACGTTGCTGGTGATACAATATTCACTCTGTTGCACATATTTATTTTAATGCCAAAAGCACTATAGCGTTATGTCAATATCGTCATGTTTCAAGGACTGTCTATGTTACACGAATCAAGCGACCCGTCCCGACCGTCAAGCAGCACTAACTAACCGCATGGCGAAAAGGTTATGGTTCAAGCGAGGTATGAATCACTCTATTAACAAACAACCTTTATTTAACTCTGCAGCAAAGCACCCTCATTTACCTCGGGCTGCCAGAGGTGATGAAGCCAGTCTCCCTGGTGGCGGGCTGGTAGTCTGATCACTCACAAAGCGCCTCTCGGTGCAATTACAGGGATAGAGGAGGGCTGCTGTAATTGCTAGGCTCCCAACGGGGGGAATTGCTGTTAGCGTGCATTCCCTCCGGCCTGTCGTAAGGGATGCTGCTGTTGTTCTAAGGTTGAGAAGCAAAATAAGACACCTGGCGGCCCTGAACGTAAAGCGACTTCACGCGGCTACTAAGCAGAGCTGCTTAGTAAAGCGACGGGAAGTGGAACTTCATACATCAGCAGATAGTTAGGTTAAGATGACAGAGTGGCAGATGTTCGGAGATTGGATTGGGTGCTCGGCAGCGGGATGAAGCATCACCTCCTAACAATGTCACTGAAAATGTTTCATTACTAATAAGATGTCACTCGTGCAATACGGGAGTCACACCTCTGTTGGTCTTGCGGGAATTACTGCAAAACAGTCATCTGCTAAACATTGGATTCTGACGCTGTGAGGTCAATAATTCTGCCTTTATGTGGCATTAACCATACAATTAACAACTCAAAGAAAGGATGAAGCGGAGGAGAGCCATCAGCTGAGGTCAAAGTAGAAATATCTCCGCTACACGGTGCAGAGAGGCGAAACCTAAAAAGAAAAATTAAGTCATTTTGGACTTTTGGACTTTTTTTTACTCACTGACATTTGTGGAATCCTGCTGAGAGTGAAGGACTAATCTTTCTCTATATATAGAGATCTCTATAATATCCTGGCTACCTTCTCTGAAATCTAGCACCCAAACCAGTGGTTGAATTGGTTTAAGGGGTTAATGAGACAATTGCCTTCCTTTCTGGCCCTCTTTTATTTCACATTGTCCAAACCTTTAAGCCTAATCCGATAGGAAGGGCTAGCATTAATCTGAGACAGTAGACTTGCAGTTGACATATATGTGCAGACATGGCTAATCCAAAGCTAATCCGTCCTCCGAAAAAGGCCTCCTTGTCTTGTCTTGACCAATGTCATTGAATTGTAACACCGACTACAACATGAGATGAGAGTTTATGTTTAAAGATGAGGCATATGTCCTCACTTTGTCTCAATGTGCTTCTCACTGGCAGGATCCAATGCAGTGAATGCTTAATCGCAGCTGAAAAAAACCCATTTCTCAACAGGTTGCCCCTAAAATAATAAGGGAGGTTTCTTGGAAAGGAAAACGGAACTGTTGTTTAGTACAATTAATTTGCCCTTGTGGCTATAATCTCACCAGGGATCGGTGTATTCACATTACAAAAATGTAAATGAATATTTAAAACGTGTTGTGAAGTTTATTCAACGGGCTGAGAGGGAGGATTAATTGCCTCGTCCCATCCAAGCACTCAATGTCACACATTGTATAAGTGAGTGCTTACGGTGATCCTGATCTGTTAACAGCACTTCATAGACGTAATTCCCCTTGAACATAAGAGCTGTAGTACAAACACATTCAAATCACATTTCACTTTCAAATGAACAGTCATTGTTTTCACTCCACACTTCAGCTGTTATCAAGAATCTCTCTCTCATGTTCCCATGTTCACTTCCTCATGGGATGAGACAGATGGGCAAAGAGTCGCCAAACCCCTTCTTAATCGCATTTTTGATTTAGTAATTGCTTTGACTCTAATTAGCCCCCAAGCGTACGGCTTGCCCCGCCCTTTCCTCGGAGGATGTTTGTTCCTGCTGGATTTTGTTGCCGTACAAGTGTCCAGAAGAGCAAACCTGTTCTCCTATCCTTATGATCTCCCCAGTCCTCTCTAAGCGTCAGGGCTCCAGGCTTTTATACGGTGAGGTCGGACTTCACATAGCACCAAACACTGCTTTTAATTTCAATTCTAAAGCTGCTTGGATTTCTTCACCTTTGAGTACATCGTTACATTTCCACATATGCCTCATCTTGATCAGTTGTTGTTAATATAAAAAGCTCATCAGTGTGTTTTGTTCGGAGGACAAACAAATACTGCGATGTCGCGAAGGGTCGACCTCTTCATCAGCACCACTGAAAACCTTGTGCTGTAACCAGAGATTCCCTGGAGGAAACAGATGAAGGGAGAAGTGACCTCTGACCAACACAAGCAATTCTCTCGTTAATGTTCATTCTGTGGTCTCCGAGCGCTATTTGTTGCAGTCGCGCGTCTGCCTGGTTCCACTTTGGACTCTCCATTAGGCCGGACCAGTCCTCTCCAAATCCCAGTTGCATGCCTTGTAATGACTTTATAACCCCACCTCATCCATTGAGTCCCTAAACACAGAAACATTTTGGCTACGGAATTGTGAACCAAAATTCAATATATGAACAATTTGCCTCAAAGCACATTAAAAAGTTGTTTGCCTGTCTTATCTGGTATGACATAGTTTATTTTGTTCTTTTAATTTTAATCAATCCCATCAGGTTACTAAGAGGAAATCAGCATTAGTTGCTCGGGCTGCTCCACCTGTGACCCCACCCAGCTCAGACGTCTCAGAGCTTTTCCAGCCTTATCCTGCTTTCTCTGTAATGAGGTGCGTACAGCCCCCTATTCTCTGTGGACAAATGTCACCTCCATAATCTAAGATTTTGGACCTTGAGGAGAGGGGGGGCTGGTTTTTGGGGGACTTTCAGCAGGATTACTGAGGGGACTGGCTGCGTGGTCTGTCGTCTGTCTGCAGGACACTTGTCTTGTAGTCTGTGCTAATCTGGAGTGGACGGCTACGCACCGTCTGAGCCGTACAGGACCGGACATTGACATTCATCAATACATGTGTGTCATAGACCAGGGGTCCTCAACGTTTTTCATGCTGAGGTCCCCCAAACTGATGGCGGAGTTTGGTCCGGCATCTTTTATTTTTGAGGTTTGCACTCTTTAGACGTGGGCATAACGATCTGATGAACCGGTGCCCAGCTTGAGAGAGCTCCTCCTGTGGGAAGCTGAATGTGTGTGTTGCGGACTGAAAGATAACGTCTTCTCCATCCATTTATCCGTGCCCTACAATATGTTGGATTCATGTTAATATGCATGTAAAGACAATAATTACACTTCTGATTCTGAAGATATTTACATTTGTGGAATTTTTGGTTGGAAAAAAAGAAAAGAAAAGAAATTGTCTTATCAACCAAAAATGTTGTGACCCCCCCCTGCAGTACCTCCGCAGACCCCCTGTTGAAGACCTCCGTCATAGACATTTACATTTTTCATTTTGCGGATTTATTCAACATAGAGGGAACAGACCCAGAACGAGAAGAATCAAGAAAGTGCAATTCCTTCAAAAAGCCAAACTACAAAGTGCTAAGAGTAAATGCCATTGTAAGTGATAATATTTAACTTATGTAGCAGAACGTGTTTCTTTATAGCTGTTCACCAGGATGAGAAGGGCAGAGTGGGAGAACACAACTCAAGAACTTGTTGGCTTCTAACAGAGGTCTTACGATCAAAATAAACGAGGGACAGTAATACGTGAGCCTTGAGCATTGGAGAAACCCTTCACACAGAGAAGGTTTCAAGGCTTTCGGGAATTAAATCTGATCTAGCAATTAATTGGTTCGTTAAACTCCTGCTCTTGGGATTAAACAGAAATTAAAGCAATGCCAGAACGGAGTCGGGAATTTCCCAAGACGGCCTTTGTGCCAGACTCTGATTAACTTGCATTGATACAAAATGTTCACTTATCTCTTCCTTGAGTATTTTCAATTGGTCTCAAGGTTGTGCCAAGCAAGCACCATCTTATTCAAATTGAATATATTTCTCTTGATTGCTGGTACGACGGTAGGAGATCTAAATGTACAAATCAACAATTAGTTGTGTAATTCTCAGCTCTCAGTTGTCTAATGATGCGTCCAGGCTTGAGTCTGCTGCAAAGCACTGCAGCCAACGGCGTTGCACACCACAGCAGTGGCCACTCCAATGTTCCATGTGAGCATCTCGATTCAAGAGGTCGACGCACACTTGTTGAGATTAAGAAGATCATCTTTACCTGTGAGTCATGACGGCTCTGATAAGCCTCCACCTTTGAGGTCATTGTATCATTTTGTATTCATTCATTTATTTTATTCATTCTGGAAAAAAAGTTACTCGCTACAAATGTGCTACAGATGTCATCTAAATATGACTCCAAACAACAAGCTTCAAATAGATTCACAATGAGGATTGCCTTTAATCTCAGTGTCAAATTCCACATGTTATATGCGTACAGCTTACAAACTCCTCCCCGTCTAAATAATTCCTGTCCCTGCTCTCCCTCGCCTGCTGCTCCATTGGAAAGCGGCAACGCTTCAATTCTTGA